CAATCTCCCCCCTTAGGCTTGGGGCCTCAGCCGGGCTCCCTCCGTGACTGGACAGCGGATTGGAGACTCGGGCAACAGGTGGCAATCTACCCCTAGGCAGGGGCTTCGGGCAACAGACAGCAACCTACCACTGGGCAGGGGCCTCGGGCAACAGACAGCAACCTACCACTGGGCAGGGGCCTCGGACAACAGGCGGCAATCTACCCCTGGGCAGGGGCTCGGGCAACAGACGGCAACCTACCACTGGGCAGGGGCCTCGGGCAACAGAAGGCAATCTACCCCTCAACAGGGGCTCGGGCAACAGACAGCAACCTACCACTGGGCAGGGGCTCGGGCAACAGACGGCAACCTACCACTGGGCAGGGGCCTCGGGCAACAGAAGGCAATCCACCCCTCAACAGGGGCTCGGGCAACAGACAGCAACCTACCACTGGGCAGGGGCCTCGGGCAACAGACAGCAACCTACCACTGGGCAGGGGCCTCGGGCAACAGACAGCAACCTACCACTGGGCAGGGGCCTCGGGCAACAGACAGCAACCTACCACTGGGCAGGGGCCTCGGGCAACAGACAGCAACCTGCCACTGGGCAGGGGCCTCGGGCAACAGACAGCAACCTACCACTGGGCAGGGGCCTCGGGCAACAGACAGCAACCTTCCACTGGGCAGGGGCCTCGGGGACTCAACGGGACTCTAGTTGTGGAGGCTGGCCACAGCACAGCTCCCACCCAGCTTTCTAGGGTCACTGGGCTCACAGGGACTCAACAGGTAGCGATGGCTCAAGCACTCAGGGGCACCACAGGTAGCTATACTCTGGGCATGCCATCAGGACACGGGTGGTCAGTGCACACACAGCGGGGCGGTTCGGAACACGGGTGGTCGGTGCACACATCGGGGACAGTTCAGGACACGGGTGGTCAGTGCACACAGCAGGAACAGTTCAGGACACGGGTGGTCAGTGCACACAGCAGGAACAGTTCAGGACACGGGTGGTCAGTGCACGCAACAGGAACAGTTCAGGACACAGGTGGTCAGTGCACACAGCGGGGACAATTCAGGACACGGGTGGTAAGTGCGCACAACAGGAACAGTTCAGGACACGGGTGGTCAGTGCACACAGCGGGGACAATTCAGGACACGGGTGGTCAGTGCGCACAACAGGAACAGTTCAGGACACAGGTGGTCAGTGCGCACAACAGGAACAGTTCAGGACACGGGGTGGTCAGTGCGCACAACAGGAACAGTTCAGGGCACTCACGGTAAGCAGCTTGCAGACCCTCAGCGGCAGGTGGCTCCAGACAGGGATGACCAGCGGTCAGCGTTCCAGGGACAACCAGCGATCAGCAGACAGTAGCAGCTCCCAGGGCACTCAGCAGCAGACAGCCTCCAGGGACACGCAGCCACGGACAGTGTGCAGGCTCCCTCAGCAGCAGCTCCCAGGGCACTCAGCAGCAGACAGGGTGCAAGGGTGCTCAGTAGACAGGCTTACAGACTGGCAGGGTCTCAGCTGTGGGGTCTGACCTTTGAGGAGAAGGCTCATGCAGAGCTGTGGAGACTCCCAACCCCGAGGTATTGCAGAGGGCTACAGTCCTGACCTTTTGGGGGTCTGCAGAGCGCGCAGGGGGGATGGCTGGGGAGACTCGGTCCCCCTCACCCGAGCCTCCCAACATCTTTCTGGGAGTAGGATGATTCTACTCACATGGACAGGAACAAAAGGGAAGGCTGCTTCCTGTGTGGGTCTCTTGAAGATCATGTGGGACGCGGCTAGGTTACCTCGGCAACGGCTGGCCCAGCCCTGTCCATGGAAGCCCCACAGACCTTCTAATGTACAAGGGGGAAGGGAGGGGTGGAGGAATATGGCGGGGGATGGGAGAGGCACTGGCAGTCCGTGACAGTATCTTTTATATTTTACTGAAACCTTAGATAATAAATTACATTTATGTCCCAGAAATTAACTTTACTGTATTTTTAACTGAAATTGTACCTTTCATAAATCATTGCACTAATATTGTGTAAAATAATAAAACTCATAAAACATTAGAACTACTAACAATTTATCCTCTAGTGTGTCTGCTGTTGTGAAGAAATATATATAATATTTGGGGGTTTTAAGTAATTTTAAGGTATAAATGGTCTTTAAAACATGTAAACAAAAAATTAAAAATGTCTCCAGGACTCCATGGACCCCTTCATTCCACACAGTCTCCAGGAACTTACCATAATATGGATCCATCGTCTTTGAAATTTGTTGGTATTGATGTGATTGGTAATCACTGGAGAGGAATTAACAAAACTAGAGCGGTCTCCCAAGCAGAAACGAAGTGGGTGTTTGAGCTCAATACATTGCACCCCTTAGGGCATAATATAGAAGTAGACTTAAACTGCTTTATAGCTAATGGCTAATCAGGATGTTTTAATACCGTTTACTCTGTGCCTGTGCTTTATTGTATTTTTCTTCCTATATATGATACATTCATACTTGTGCGTTTATAATTGGGGTTTTTTAACCTCGATTTTAATTTTAATTTTAATTTCAATTCTAATGAGCATTTTATATTTTGAGATAATATTCGAGATAATATCAATATTTCTAGTTTTATTCTATATTGATTTTATTTTTTCTTTATTTTACTTACCTATTTTTATTACATGAATAGAGTAATGAGGACTAATATTTAATAATAAAGTGTTTATGTGCCAGAATAGAGACTTTCATATACACTTATATGGCTACATCAGTTATATTTATCTTTAGACTGTTTTTGCTGATGTTTTATTTCATTTTAACAAAAATTAGGGATTTTTATTAATTACATGCGTGTTCTATGTTATGCAGAGCATCCACCTTGCCGTGGTCCGTTTATCATAAGTATATACCACTCATACTAGGGCCATTGAGAATGCCCTCAATATTTAGAAATTGGCTTCTCACAGTTATATTTGAAACTTTCTATTTATGGAGCACTGTCACTTTAATAGACAGAGGTATACTGCTCCATGGATTCCCTGGGGTCTGCAGCTAAATATCTTACAGCTGCTGGGATGGATAAGCGGAGGAATCTCCCAACCCCCTTTCTTCTGTTTCTCTTTGCGGATCCCGGCAAAATGGCGCGCCTCCGTCTGCGCGCATGCGCACTACGGACTCCACGGGAAGATGGCCCGGGTAACCGCGCATGCGCCGTCTTTCCCTATATATTACATTGACGTCGGTCACGCTTCTGTACAGCCTCCCCTCTGATGATGTGCCTATAGCACGAAAGGCCTAAGGAGGAGCTGTGCAGAGCGTGACGTCATTTCCTACCGCCGGAGCCACGAGGAGGCCCGGCGGCCATCTTTACTGGGGTCAGTAATGCTTTTCCTTTCACTTTACATGCAATGAATGCTGTGATGTGCATACTGCCCTATTACTTTGTCTGACTAATAAAATCACCTTAAGAACATACTACACTATCTCTGGCACTTGTTTTTTGGGGCTCCTTGCTGGAGCTGCTACTCCCACAGAAAGGGCACCCTCACCAGCCAGAAGAGGGATCAACACTATCAGTGTGACTAACCTTAAGGGGACCTCCGGATCTGTCGTGTTGTTTCTGATGACACACCGTGAATAGGACGCCCACCACTCGGTCTTCGTCGGATCGGACACCTGGGATGATTACCTCTATATGCGCATATTCCATGCGTTTCTGGTGAGTGCGCATTGCTGTTATTTCGAGGCAGTATATACTTCGGAAACATTTTCATCAGACAATACCGCGGATACTGTATAGACTTTACATATGTATATACATTTTGTTTTTATCCAATTTTAATTCTTGAAGCGCTGCACTGTTGTTTATTACAATTGATATACGTATATTTTAAAGGTATTGTGGTTACCTGAAGTGTACTAGCTGCTGCATACATTTGAGAGCGCTCACTACATATTACTTTTTATCTAAAAATATTATGTTCTGCCAGGTAATGCCTGGGCAAATAAAGTCAGCTAAAGGTGCTTGCAAATATAATAATAAATTTATAAAATAATTTATCTGACTTAATAATTCTGAGTAATTTAGAGCCAACCAAAATCATTTAAAAACACAGATTAGATCAGTGGAAATATGGACTAAATGATTATTTATTTACAATAAGGGACTGCGAGACTGTGGCAGACATTCTGACACTGGGGGGGCTGACTTGGTGTCACTGACATCCCCAGTGACACCAATACATTTAAAAGCACTGACTCTGTACTAATGGCACTGGGCAGGAAGGGGTTAACATGAGGGGTGAACAAAGGGTTAACTGTGTGCTGGGAGTGTTTTACAAGGGGGCGGGGGTGCATTATTGTAAGCTCACTGTTCTGGATGGCTGTGCTGTGCAGTGTGCCCGAGCTGACAGGGAGGAAGATTGTTAGTAAACAAAAGAGTCCTCCTCCCCATCAGAGATACTCGGTAATCACTGGGCGCCGACGGATAATTACTGTCCGGGATCCGGTGACTGACAGCCACACACACTATTTCTATCACTCCTGATTGGTGGGAGATATGACATCACACACACACTATTTCTATCACTCCTGATTGGTGGGAGATATGACATCACACACACACTATTTCTATCACTCCTGATTGGCGGGAGATATGACATCACACACACACTATTTCTATCGCTCCTGATTGGTGGGAGATATGACATCACACACACACACTATTTCTATCACTCCTGATTGGTGGGAGATATGACATCACACGCACACTATTTCTATCGCTCCCGATTGGTGGGAGATATGACATCACACGCATACTATTTCTATCATTCCCGATTGGTGGGAGTTATGACATCACACGCACACTATTTCTATCACTCCCGATTGGTGGGAGATATGACATCACACGCACACTATTTCTATCACTCCTGATTGGTGGGAGATATGACATCACACGTACACTATTTCTATCACTCCTGATTGGTGGGAGATATGACATCACACACACACACTATTTCTATCCCTCCTGATTGGTGGGAGATATGACATCACACGTACACTATTTCTATCACTCCTGATTGGTGGGAGATATGACATCACACGCACACTATTTCTATCACTCCCGATTGGTGGGAGATATATGATATCATCACACGCACACTATTTCTATCACTCCTGATTGGTGGGAGATATGACATCACACACACACTATTTCTATCATCCTGATTGGTGGGACATATGACATCACACACACACTATTTCTATCACTCCTGATTGGTGGGAGATATGACATCACACACACACTATTTCTATCACTCCTGATTGGTGGGAGATATGACATCACACGCACACTATTTCTATCACTCACTCCTGATTGGTGGGAGATATGACATCACACGCACACTATTTCTATCACTCCTGATTGGTGGGAGATATGACATCACACACACACACTATTTCTATCGCTCCTGATTGGTGGGGAGATATGACACACACACACACTATTTCTATCACTCCTGATTGGTGGGAGATATGACATCACACACACACACACTATTTCTATCACACTCCTGATTGGTGGGAGATATGATGACATCACACGCACACTATTTCTATCACTCCCGATTGGCGGGAGATATGACATCATCACACACACACATTTCTATCGCTCCCGATTGGTGGGAGATATGACATCACACGCACATACTATTTCTATCATTCCCGATTGGTGGGAGTTATGACATCACACACACACTATTTCTATCACTCCCGATTGGTGGGAGATATGACATCACACGTACACTATTTCTATCACTCCTGATTGGTGGGAGATATGACATCACACGCACACTATTTCTATCACTCCCGATTGGTGGGAGATATGACATCACACGCACACTATTTCTATCACTCCCGATTGGTGGGAGATATGACATCACACGCACACTATTTCTATCACTCCTGATTGGTG